TTTTCTGTTCCACCTTAAATTCTAACTGAGGCGCCGAATGTAAATGCGGCACCATTTAAGGTGGAATGGGAGAATTCAAAAGAAAAACTGACTTCATCTTCGCAAATTTTTAGTGTTTGACAGTCTCTCATTGCAGATTTACCGTACCAGGAAACCAACTGCACTGCTTATAAATGCGAATAACACATTGTTGCTATTGGAAGTAAATTCATTATGGATCATTACAAATACTTTGCTTTAAAACTACCAAGTCCTAAGACAGTAAGAAAATAGAAATGCTGTATAGAAAAATAAGATGCATCGAGATGCATCGATAATCGTTTTATAATCCTATCGCAGCCCTCTGAATCGTAATCAAATCGAATCGTGAGGTGCCTAGAGATTCCCACCCCTACGTTGCACTATTTGCTCATGCAGTCTTTCACAGAGTGGTGAACACCTCCCCATCTTTACTTCTGAAAGACTCACCCTCTCTGCGATACTCGTTTTCTACCGTTATGTTACTGACCTGTTGCCAATAAACCACCAGGTGTTTTTTAAGCATTACACAACTTTACCAGCCTTTTGTTGTCCCTGTACTAACTTTTTTGGAACATGTTGCTGGCATCAAATTCAAAATTGGCATCTATTTTTCAAAAAACAATACAATTTCTCTGTTTGAACATCGATATGTTGTCTTTGTATTATTTTTACTTTGCACATGTCCCAAATCATGTGACAGATTTGTTTTTTTGTGTGCCAGTATGAACAGCAAAATATGCATTGAATTAACTAGGACTCCAGACTTACAACTCATGAAAAATTACATTCCTTTAAAATCTACTAAAACTTCAGCAGATTAGCTAGTGAGTTACCAAGCATAGCATACATGCTACATAAACTACAGAACCAACTGTTACAAGTTGTTTTGCCTCTTTCCTTTAAATACTGCATTTCGCTGCTGTCTGAAAAAAAACTTGTATCTCCATTTTTGTTGTTTTTCAGTTTTTGACATATCTTGAAATGAAAAAAATGAAATGAACCTGTCTTAGCCAACTGTGTATGAACACATCGGAATTAGACCTCCGCATTTAACCCATCCGTGCTGTGAAACACCACATACACACTAGTGAACACACACACACTAGGGGGCAGCGAGCACACTTGCCCAGAGCAGTGGGCAGCCCTATCCACGGCGCCCGGGGAGCAGTTGGGGGTTAGGTGCCTTGCTCAAGGGCACTTCAGTCACATACTGTCAGCTGAGGGGATCAAACCAGCAACCTTCCCGTCACAAGCCTGGTTCCCTAACCTCCAGCCCACGACTGCCCTTGCCTATCTTGACTATCTTGCCTGTAAACATGCCTGGTTATATTGTGTATAAATTTAACGAAGAATCAACCAAAAAAAACAGCCTAAAATTACTTGGAAAAAGTCAATTTTACCTTACATTTAACGTAAAGTATGTTTTTTCCTTCTCCTGTAAAGTTCTCATTTTGGAGATACAAGGTTTTCTTCCCACAACAGCGATTTACTGCTTTTAGTGCTTCAGTTCTGTTCTTCAAATGGAAGGCTTTTAAATGAAAGACTCATTATTTGAAGCCACATCGAACCTGAAAGGTTTTAAGTGGGAGTTTATTTTGTACAACGCAAAGCCTGCAGCTAATAATTAGACTGAAGACTCCAGGATGGACTTGCACTCGCACACTGAGACTCGTGAACATCTCTGAGCTTCACACAGGTCAGATCTCTTCATCTGGTGACATAAACTGGCGTTTGACACTGAATTTGCTTCCCTTGCTAGCATTCTTCTTCATAGCAGGTTACTTTCTCTGTTTGATGAATCTCTGCAAATACAGTAAGCACAGAAATTCACCATTTTTACTCTTTACTGTAAAATTTGTTCAGTTTTGGTGTCTATTCTTTGTCCTCCAAGGTAAAAAATGCAGATAATGTGAACAACCAACGCAAAAATGGGATTTGCTGCTCAGACTGAGCCAAGACTTCCTGTTTATTTATTTCATCTTTATTTATTCAGGCGGAGAGACTGAAAAGTTTGTCTTCTTCGAGGGCATCGATTTCAGGTGCAGAATCCTGGGGGGGCCCAAAAGTAATGCTTTGGGAGAGAACAGGGACCACAGAACCTTCAGCCTTACTGCACAAGGCCACACTGTTGGATGCAGCAGGCAGCTGGGATCTAACCTACATTCCCAGTTGACTGACCACTCATTGGTAAACCATCTAACCTTTCAAGCTATAGCAGGACTTTGGTGCTATGCACCTTGCAAGGCTGCCTCTTTTTTATAGCAAAACCAGATGTATTTATTCATAAATACCTTGCATACCCTCCACGTACAACCAGAACATACAGTATAATACATGTGGAGCTCCACTTGTTTGTAGCTGCCCTGGTGTTAGATTTGATCGCACATTTCAGTCTATTAGCTAATGTTACAACTCCTTTTCCCAAAAAGTTGGGACGCTGTGCAAAAAATAATAAAAACAGAATGCAGTGATGTGAAAGTCATTTAAACCCTATATTTAATTGACAATACTACAAAGGCAATAGATCAAATGCTGAAACTGGGAAATTTTATTGTTTTTTGAAAAACATTTGAAAAACAAGTTAAAGCTCTTCCATGCAAAGGAAAAAAACATATATATATATATATATATATATATATACACGTGCCGTAGGTGACTTGCACATCTATGAAGGCACCATTAATACTGAACAATATAAATAGGTTTTGGAGGAACATATGCTGCGATCCAGACAACGTCTTTTTCAGGAAGGCCTTCAGGCCTTGCTTATTTCAGCAAGACAATGCCAAACAACATTCTGCATGTATTACAACAGCATGGCTCCAAAGTGAAAGAGTCCTGGTGCTAAACTGGTCTGCTTGCTGTCCAGACCTGTCACCCACTGAAAACATTTGTCGCATTATGAAACAAAAAATATGAGAGATCCTGAGCTGTTGAGCAGCTGAAATCCTATATCAAGCAAGAATGTGAAAATATTTCACTCTCTAAACTACAGTAATTGGTCTCCTCTGTTTACAAACACTTACAGAATGTTGTTAAAAGAATAGGTGATGCAACACTGCGGTAAACATGACGCTTTCCAACTTTTTTGGAACGTGTTGCTGGCATAAAATTTAAAATGGGCATATATTTTTCAAAAAACAATACAATTTCTCAGTTTCATCATTTGACTTGTAGTCTTTGTACTATTTTCAATTAAATATTGTGAAAATAGCGCTTAAATGATTTGCACAAATGATTTCAAATCATGTCAAAAACTGAAAAACAATAAAAATGGAGATACAAGGTTTTCTTCCAATAGCAGTGATTTAGTAAGCAGAAATTATGGCCTTCTCTAGTTCTTCTCTGCCAGGAGGCCACAATACATTTTTCTTGCATTTCTTTAAATGGAAGCAGAAAAATGCACCCCATTTTCTCAACACAGAATAGCATAAAATCTTTCAATGATTCTGTCATATTTTGAGTGCTTTTGAACCCCATTTATAGGATCGGCATTCAACAGTAATGCTTGTGTACTACTTCTCAAGACCTTTTTACTGTAGAAAAACAAGAATATACTTCAAGGTTTTAATGGAACAGATTCTTCCACTTTTTAAAATAAAAGAAATTTCCCACATAAAGGGCTAGAAACATGTTTATTTTTTGTTTTAGCCATTTAGCTCCATTAATTTTTGATAATAATGAGAAAAATAATAAATGGCCAGGCTGCCCTTAAACTGGCTCTGTTCTTTTCTCTTCTACACTTACATAAGGCTCACATTCTGGTACTCAGGTTTGAGTCTGCAGTTCCAACTTTTGTCTGTTTTGATGTCAACAAATGACAAAAATGACAAATAAGTAAAGATGTTTGTTCCTTCTGCAAAACAACACTGCATGCTCAACAACAACTTTTCATTCAATTGCGATCAAAACAATATTTTAGCATCGGACAACAACATAAACAACATTTAAGTTTCTTTTCCAGAGGACATGTGCCTCTTATTAGCCTTCTGATTGCCATGCCTCACGAGCGTCTAGAGGCTAGCGACAGCCAGTAGCAGATCAATACAATATATCTATTATTCTAAACACGAATGTTGTATGGATTGAAAGTTTGACAGAATGTTTGCACTGGTTTCAATGAGCTACAAGTAAGAAATAATTTAACCTTTGCAACTCCTTGGAACCACTGGTGGTTCCAAAAGGCACTTCGTCTTATTCTTCATAACCTTCATATTTCATAAGATACATTCAAAAGGTGGGTGGCATATGAGAGCTGTAACTGTCTTCTTTCCAGTCAAATAGATGGGTAATGTAATTTTAAACCCTTATAATAAAAGAAGTTGAACTCACAATTTTTTTTGTCTACTGAAAGTCGACCCATTTTTCCACAAATTTGGGCTATAAACTAAAAAAATACAAAGAGCGTCTAAGATTTCTGGCTTTCAGCAGTAAATTGTCAGCATATAGCAGTATGTGTATGATCATAAAACACATGCTCTGTTAATTTGAGGGGAGCTTTTACAAAAAATAAATAAATAAAATAAAAATTTACAGTTATTTCATGCAGTTACTGAATAATTTACCTTACGATTTGGTCATGTAAATTCAGATGGACAAACCAAAATATACCCTGGTCAATACATAAGAAGAGGTGTTTTAAGGCATATGTGCAGTGAGTGCACCTAAGAGAGTTGAAACATATGTTTATTCAGTCATCCCAAAGGGTGTGTACTTTCCACCAACCCATACATGAAGCAAAGTTGTAGTACTTTTCTGAATAAAAAAGACTTGGTAAGAGTAGAAGCATCAAAAAAATAAGTCCCGCATGTAAGGACAGTAGGTCAGTAAGGACAGTAAGTACTGTACACTTTATCTAGTACAGAGTGTCCACAGATGTCCAGTAAAAAGGGGTACACACCCCATGTTCACGTACATTCCCTCTCTACTCACTCTGCATGGTGTGTATGTGTTGTGTTTCGGCTGGTTTCATCACTCACCCAGGTCTTTAATGCGGGGCAACACGTCGAGGGTGAAGTTCTTATAAGAGGCGATCTCCTCGCGGGGTGAGGCGATGCCCACGTGAGCCTCATAGATGCGCGGGCAGCGGGGCCGTGGGGGTCTTTGGTGCTGGTGCTGTGAGTCACATAGAGGAAAAGAACAGTTAAACCAAGTGTGCATGCTACGGCAGTCTTTGATGAGCCTGTAGCACACAGCTTCCACACTGATCTCCGCCTGCTGAGCCCGTGATGCAACCCAACTCAAATATCAACACAAGGGAAGAGAGAAAGAGTTGAACAGTGCAGTCGGCCTAAAGGCTGAGTTGCTTTTAGAGGTGGGTAGAGAATTCTAAACTCCTTCATAAATAAGAGCAAGCATTGCTATTTCTGAGAAATAATGACTCAAGTAACAGTAAAAGTATCTTTTCAGTAAAGAACTTAGAAGAAGTACAAAATGGAAGATGCAGAAGTACTGATGACTTATAGAACTGCAGCAGAGGTAAAACAAAGGAGCTGAAGGCTTTATTCTTCTCTTTTAAAAGTACTTTTGGTCTAAAATGAAATGATGAACTTCAAAAGTAAGAGGTGTGACCAATTACAATGCAGTACAGATACTGAAACTTAATGAAATAAAAAAAAACTCCATATTAATAACTGAGACTATTTGAAAACACTCAGTTAAGTATTAATCCAAACTTTTCTCTGGGTATACTACACTCTTAAAAATTAAGGCAATATAAAAACTTCTTTGTGTGTAGAGCTGCACCGATACCATTTTTTCCCTTTTATACCGATACTGATACCTCATCCTTGAGTACTGGCCAATACTGAGTACCAGTACTGATACTAACTCTACCTAACCTAATTAGCTTATAAGTCTTGATATTTATACGGTTCCACTTTTTAAATAAAAGTGCTAAAGGCTAAACCAAGGCTAAAGGGTCATTACCCAAGGGTCATTACCGCAAGAGTGCAGCGGTTCCTTCCTTACGTCTCTCTAATGTTCATTTCATCAGCAACAACTTGTACTAACATTAACTCAGACCATAAGGGACTACACAGCAGAGGATAAGGGATTACTGAAGGAAGCCTGAATCAGCTGTTGAGGTAAGTGGCTCCCGTTCGCATGTTTTATACTGTTTATATGTTGCATTATGTGGTGTGTTTGTAACATATCAGTGAAATCAACAGCTTAGGAAGAAGTCCAACTGGTATGTTACCCACCACTATTGCCTTTTCACAAAATACTGGCATTACAGATTTTGCCACGAGCAGGTTTATAGCTGCTGGTCAACCCACACCACCAACATGTTTCTAAATTCCGTCTACTAGTGTGCATGTATGTTCCAGTGTGCTTCTGCATCAGAGATTGCTTTGTGATATAGGTCATAGGTATCAGTATCCCCATCGCTGATACTGCCACATTTTTATATGGCCGTCATCCATTGTAAAACCTTTCAATGGATGGTTCTTTGGAGAACCAATTTTCTAAATGAGATATGTGAGAGTAATGTAACTTTTTAATGTTTATAGAACTTCCACATTATGTATACTCTAAAAAGGTTCTTCAAGAGCTTTTTAGCAAAGAAAATGGTTCTTTGCATCATGAAAGTGTTTGTCAGATTGATGGAGAATGTGCTGTATATGGTTCTACACAGAACGTTTTTGAAAAGGGTTCTTCTATTGTTGTGATGTCAAGCTTGTAACAGTAGAAGGACCCTTTTGGGGCTACACAGAACCCTTTCCAGAAATGTTCTATAAAGAACCATCTACAGCACATTCTCCATCAATCTGAAGAAACTTTTCATGATGCGAAGAACCCTTTAATCATGGGTTTTTTTGAGCGTTCTGCCCCCCGTCCCTCTCTCTCTCTCTCTCTCTCTCTCTCATTCTTTGAAATGTGTGGCAATTTGGCTGCAAATTTCATTATAACTTTATATCTCTTGCTGTACAGATTTCTCTGTCATTTTAGACGTATCTATAGCTCTTTCCATCATTCTGGATGCATGTAAAGTGTCTTATTTGTGTGAAGTTGCACAGGACTAGCATATTAGTTTCAATTTACACATATTTCTGCAACTGAATTGATCTAATGTGGTTGAAATCACTGATTCCAAATGGTTGAATGGCAACAGTGGTGCATATTGCTGCATACTTCAATTAACAAATACTGTCAAATATATTTAAATTAGTTAAACTTCCATGAACATCTATGAACAATAAGGAAGTAAAAATCATATGATAAAACAAACACTGACTGGTTAGAGGCCCATTTTCAGATTGTGATATTATTATTGTAAAGGCTGCTGTTGCAATAAAGATCAGAAAAATGTAAAACAACACTCACACACGAACAAACAAACACATACACAAAAGCACATTAGAAAGCAAAGTAAATCAAATAAACTAATGAATAACCCCCACCCGAGTTATTCATCTAAAACACTAATGACTTTCAGCAAATATGCTCTTGCTCAGTCACCCATATGCACCGGAACATAACTGTGGGAATGAGCGTTCTAGTGAGTACAGTCTGCCGCACACTGAATGACTCAAAATCAACCACAAATGTGCCAGAAAAATGTCACCGCAGAAACATTAATCCATATTAAAGCTGCGTGCACTGTAAATGGTTCTTGAGTGAAACGAAAACATCAAGAGGGCAAAACCAACTGTTCAATCTGTGAGGGCTGTTAAACGCACTACTCGAGTCCCATTACACACACTGAACAAGTGTCGTCATTAGCGCAGGCGTGCTTTCGGCATGCTAATGGCTAATAATAAATGTATGAGCTCTAAGAAGGCTGTATCTTTAAAGGCGCTCTCACCAGAGTGCTCAAACAGAGTCACTCAATACGGTCACGAATCATCAATGTGGGGGTCAAATAGAGGAGCGTGCTGACCCAGGACTGTCCACTGGTTTAATACCCTAACAGGGGAGATCACAGCAGATACCTTCGTTCATACTTTTTTGTATATTTTACATTTCATTATATTCACTTAAACTTGTGGAAGAGTGTGAGAGAGAGAGAGAGAGAGAGAGAGAGAGAGAGAGAGAGAGAGAGAGAGAGAGAAAAGTTGGAAGGAAAGTGAGAGGGAGAAATAGAAAGAGAAGGCGAGCATGAAAGAAAGACTGAGATGAGAGAGGAAGAGGGACAGAGTGAAAATGACAATATAGGGAGAAAGAGCAAGAACCAAACAGAGAGAGAAACAGGAAGAGACAGAGACCAAGAGAGAGTGAAAAGAGAAAGGAAACATAAAGAAGGAGTTAAAAAAGAGAAACAGAAAGAGAAGGAGAAGAGAGAGTGCAAGAGAGACAGAGAGAGGGAACGTGAGAAAAAGGAAGAGAAAGGAAAGAGTGTGTAGAATGAGAGAGACGAAGACAGAAGGAAAGTGAGTGGGAGAAATAGAAAAAGAAGGAGAATATGAAAGAAAGATTGAGAGAGATGAGAGCAACAGAGTGAGAATGACAAGATAGGGAGAGAGAGCAAAAGACAAACAGAGAAAGAGGGACAGACAGAGACTAATGGAGAATGAGAAGAGAGAAAGGAGACATAAAGAAGGAGTAAAAAAGAGAAACAAAAAGAGAAGAGAAGGAGAAGAGAGAGTGCAAAAGAGACAGAAAGAGGGAAAGTTAGAGAGAGAAAAAGAAAGGAAAGAGAGTGTGACAGAAAGAGAAAGAAAGAAAAAACAGATAAACAAATAGAGACAGACAAAAAGAGTAAGATGGAGACAAAGAGAGAGAAAGAAGGGGAGAGGAGATAAAGAGAGAAAGATGGAGAGCAGAGGCTAAAAGAGAGTGAGAGGAGAGAGAGGAGAGATAAGGAGTATGAAAGAGAGAAATAGAAAGAGAGAAAGACAAGGAGAACAGAGAGTGAAAGAGAAAGATGAGAGCATGAGAGAGAGAGAAAGGGGGAAAGAGAAAGAAACGACAGAGAGAGGGAGTGCGTGTGACATACAAAAAGAGGAAGAGAGACGAAGAGATAAAACAAAAAGAGACAAAAAGAGAAAGATGGAGACAGGGAGACAGAGAGAGAAGGGGAGAGGAGATAAAGAGAGAGACAGATGAAAAGAAAGAATGAGAGAGACAAAGACAAAGCGAGTGAGAGAAACAGAAAGAGAGGAAGAACATGAAAGAAAGATTGAGAGAAATGAGAGAGCAACAGTGAGAATGACAAGATAGGGAGAGAGCAAGAACCAAACAGCGAGAGAAAGAGGGAGAGACAGAGACTAAGAGAGAGTGAGGAGAGAGAGGAGGGATAAAGAAAGAGTGAAAAAGACAAACAGAGAAAAAGAGAACACGGAGAAGAGAGAAGAGAGGGTGCAAGAGAGATGGGGGAGCACGAGAGAGAGACAGAAAGAGGGAGAAAGAGAGAGAGACAAAGCAAGGGAATAAAGAAAGAGATAAAGAGCGAGAGTGAGAGTGAAAGAGTGAAAGAGTGGAGCTGTCAGTATTTCATGACTCTGTGTGAGGAATTCTCTGATAGGCTGAACTTTAACATTGTCAGGTTGATTTTTTCCATTCATGTATTGATTTATTTATTCCTGATGTTCTATAAAGCTACAATAATTGATAAAAGGTTTCCACAAAACACATCTGTGGGCTGAGCACGGATTGGTCAATTTATGCATTGAAGAAAACAAATTTTGTTCTTGTGGTCAAGTGAAGGAAAAACTACCATTTGTTATGTTGTTTCATCTAAATGACAATCCAGACACTCATTCTGTTGACTGAAGCGTTATTTAGTTATTTTATCCCCAGAAGGCTCTCAATAGACGCACAGGTCATGTGTCTAACTTCAGAACTTCTGAATGTATCTTTTTTCAAACAATCAAGGTACAATTTTCACAAAACATGTCCCCTGGGCATCTTCATAAGAGTTTTATGACTTAAAAAAAAAACGCTTTGGCAAATTGTACAGAGGAGGAAGTGATGAAGAAACCCGGAGTTCTTTCAGTGTTGCTGGAATGCTTTAGAATGAAGCACATAATCATTAAAAAAATCATAGAGGTTCACTTGAATGCTATCTTTAGACATGAATAACAAAGACATAGCTGGAAGCTCTTCAGTTTTAAAACCAAAGTACTTCTGCAGTGTTCGCATGTGCACCCAAACCCCATTAACCCCCATCATAAGCCTGTGGAGAGATGTGTTATTGTAGAAAAAAAGCAGTGATTGACAGCAAGCCTTCACACACACACACACACACACACACACACACACACACTCAGATACACAAATGGTGGGCATCTGTTAGTGTACACACACTGAGCTGCTATCTCTCTCCTCCATGTGTGTTTATCTGTCTTACTTTATTTTAGCAGTTCCTTTATAGAATGTGGTTGCCACTGTGTTGTACTGTACTGTGTTGTTCTGCTGTGTTTTGTTATGCTGTGCTGTGCTGTCTTATGCTGTGCTAAATTGTTCTGCTGTGTTGTGTTATGCTGTGCTGTGCTGTGTGTTGTGTTATGGTGTGCTGTGTTGTGCTGTGTTCTGCTGCTGTGTTGCAAACAAGTATTGGCCAAACCCTCCCAGAGTGGTAGCCACTGTGCAGAGGCCTTGAGCTGAGTAAAAAAAAAAATACCAAAAATTCTCGCTTAAAGGCATACTCTACATTTTTCACGTCTTTATTTCCCCTGAGATCTACTTTTGATGTTTGTGTAGGTGTTTGTAGCAAATACACACACACACACCATCTAAACCGTTTATCCTTCTGGGTCATGGGGGGGCGGCGCGGCAGGAACCTATCTCAGCTGTCAATGGGCGGAATGCAGGATACACCCTGGACAGGTCGCCAGTCCATCGCAAGGCAGGCAGACAGACAGATACATCCACACACACAATCACGCACAAATTCATATCTAGGGGCAATTTAGCATGTCCAATTGGCGTGGCTGCATGTCTTTGGACTGTGGGAGGGAAACGGAGTACCCGGAGGAAGCACACACAGACACGGGGAGAACATGCAAACTCCACACAGAAAGGACCCTGGTCACACGGCCAGGAATCAAACCCAGGCCCTTCTTGCTGTGAGGTGACAGCGCTAGCCACCGTGCAATATTTTATTTTAATATGCCATTTTTCAATCTTTACACCTTTTAACAATTATAAAATGGTATTTGTACAATTGCTTTACTTCCATACATGGATTGTATTGACTGGGGGCTGCATGTTATAGCAAATGGAGACTTTAACATTGTTAACATTAGAGGTGGGGGAAAAAAATCGATTCTTAGATGCATCGCGATGCGGATGTGGACGATCTGAATCGATTTATTCAACGTCAAAAATCGATTTTCTAAATATTTAATTTATAGGGTAATGTTGACGGAACGCAAAGGGTGGAACTTGGAAGTGGGTAAGTGCAGCGTCCGGAGTTCTGCCTGAGGCGGAACTGAAATGCGGCACCATTTAAGGTGGAACGGGAAAATTAGAAAGAGAAGCGATTTCATCTTCACAACTTTTTAGTGTCTGACAGTCTCTCATTGCAGATTTAACGTATCAGGAAACCAACTACGTTGCTTATACATGCGAATAAGTCCGTTCATCTCCAAATGTTCGTCTGTCTTTCTCTTTTCCTTTTTCGTTCGCTACTAGCCAGGCGAAACCTCGTTGCTAGGTGACCTGCAGTCTGCATGGCAATTCTCAGTCGTTGAGAAACAGGGCTTTTGATGTTGCACACATCCAGTCTCGAAGATATTTTACTGACACAGCGGGTAGGACGGCTATAATGTGCTGCGTGGTCATCCGTTACCACTGGATCTTATTTCACCGTAACAGTACATTTTATCACAGATGAGTGGCAGCAGCGTCTCCAAATAAGAGCAGTGAATGAGAGCCTTCCAGTTCACTTGCCACATCACTTCTATTTGTTTTATTAATAAAAGATATTGGGCATAAATGTATTATGGATCATTACAAATACTTAGCTTTAAAACTATCAAGTCCTCAGACAGTAAAAAAATAGAAATCATGTATAGATAAAAAAGATCCAAAAAATGGGGTTTCCATGACATTGGCCCTCTAAGTAAGAGTAGGTTAGTGCAGCTGTAGTGATAATTAGTGGATAATTGTTTAAGTAAGAGTAAATAAGCTGTTAATTGAAAAACTCCTTGAGTTACTCTAAGTTAATAATAGTCATCTTAGTGAAAGATCCAATGCTCGTGATCTCACTGGGTTTATGAGCACCCTACAATACCCAATTTCTTACTTTGAATGTTAGCTTATATGATCTAAATTAGCTAGTTAGGCGCTCACCAGAGAACATATAGGCAAAATCTTTGGTTTAAAAATAGCTGTTCTGGAGTGGTGCGTGTTACAGGTTTAACAATAGCTGTTGTGCTTGTTCTTTGAGTGAGAACTTTAAACCAGTGCCCTGTCAGATGTTCAGCCCTGCTATTTAGAATTTTTAGCACATGCAACAAATGGTTCCCCTTCCACCAATTACAGTCCACTCCTCTCAGGAGATACAGAGGAAGGTGACTCTGTTTTCAGATGCCTTCCCAGAAATTTGAGATTAATGTTTAGGCAAACAATTGGCCTTCTCTACAGACCAACAGACATCTGTCTTTTACACCCACCTTATAAGGATGTGGAGGGTCCCAGTGAACCCAGTCGTAAGTGACAGAGTCCAGTGTCTTAGTAACGTACTTTGCCCAGGGGGAAATCCGAAACAAATACTCTCCATCTTTAGTCAGGATCACAAGCTGCACACAGAGAACAAACAGGAGAAGTGCATGTATTACCATTCAAAAGACTAGAATCATAAACAATCTATAAAATGAGGTGAATATGCTAATCCTAGGCAACATAATGGGTAAAAAATAATTGCAAGAAAACTCTACAGAATGAAGAACAGAAATGTAATAAAATTACATTTTAGCAAACTACAAATTACAGATTTAAGGTTATGCAATGTTTTTGTGATGCCACAAGCTCATCCATTCATGCTGAATTTATAAGTGTTTCAGCCTTTTTGAATGAGGCACAATACAGGGCAGCCAATCAGAACAGAGGTCATTTACATACATCAGTCTTAAAGGCGCAGTAACAGTAACCAGCCTGTTTAATTCTAAGGGATGAAGAGAGGTTGGAAAATGGCCATGTAAAAGTGAATTATGACTGTGTTTGGTATGCAAAGCCAAACCAATATTTTAAGTAGACCTAAGAGAAAAAGAAATAAAATACAAGGAAAATTTAGGATGTGGCCTCTGAGGCCCTGAAATGTTGAAAAATCATCTAAAAATATCTTTTGGTGTTTAGGTAAATCAACACTTTCTAAGCTGTTATTGATTACAAAATAACAAAAAAATATTACAACAATAAGTGATTCTAATAGATTATGTACACATGTTCAAAACTTGTAATACACCCAGTGTTTACACACACACACACACACACACACACACACACACACACACACACACACACACACTTATCAACATTCCACTCCATTCCTTCTCTCTGCATCTCCCCTCCTGACATCTCTTGTCCTCCAGCGTCTCCATAGGCTCACCTGTTTCCCTATAGCATGAGGACTGAAAGTACAGTGCAAACTAAAACAACAGCAAACCACAAAACACAGCTCAATACTGCTCACACACTGAGCTGACACACACATGAAGACTAAAGCAATGTTAGCATGTCTGTTTGTGTGTTTGTTTTCATGCACGTTCAATTCAAAACCCTCTGGAAAAAGGGCTAGCACAGCTTGTCATGACAACCTTAGTCAGTGATTAGGTGCTAAGTGTATAGTAATTCTAAATTGTACTTTGTACTGCTAGACTTTTTTAGTCTAGTGTTATGGATGCTATCAGGTAGCCTGAACTGAAAATTTAACGGGTGTAACAATAACAAAGGGAAGCTGGACTTTCTTCAAATTTTGCAAATGTTCAATGACTCATTACCTGTATGCTAGCTGCTGCTTACGACACTGTCAATACACTAATAAGTGTGTTTACTAATGTAAATAAATATTCCTTATGCTTTTCATTAAATATCTCTTACTTGATCTAGTGATTTATTATTACATGTTCGTCCATTATGCATCCACATATGGAGCAGTGACCTTGGGCCTTACTGGCCACGTTCTTTCATTTTCACATACACTCTCATGCAAAAGTTTGGGGACCCTTTGTCAGTTTACATGTTTGGGTGATTTTTGAAATGAAAATAAGTAACACTTCCTCTACTGATGCACATTTTAATACACAGTTGTTTACTAGCTGAATTTAACACAGTGTTTAACATCGAGAAAAAAATGCTAAAATAAAATGGCCCATGCAAAAGTTATGGTCAATTTTACTCAGCAAATAAAAAGAAATTATGCAGCAACATTGGCAGAAAATTTCAATTTTAAGTCTTCTGTAGAGGATGTATTAACTTCTTTGCATTCAGAAATTTGACCATGCATTTTCAAACTTTTGCATACAGCTGTATTGAGCTGCCTCACTGTACTCAGAGATATTTGTACATTAAGTATTGTCAAGATTTTTTTGTGTTAAGCTACGTAGAAACAACAAGCAAGATCTCATTGCTTAGGCCTTCAGGAACTGAACTGGAGACACAGCATGTCAGATTAACTAACGCCATTAGGAACTGTCGGTGGAATCAACCAATCATATTTGATTTACAATGGATTTTTTTGTGGGGGAAAAAAAACTCTAGGTCTGGAAGTCCTTAATATGGCCAAAAAAGTTAATGTAAATTGCCATAAGCTTACTGCTAACATACTAGAATCCCATAGGAGCGCTAGGCCAGAGTTGATTTTTATTTAGGAACAGCTATGTGAGCTTTAAGAAATCACATTCAGTTTTGAGATTAGTAATCAATAAATTGTAATGGAAACTCTTTTGAGTTACCACCCTGACAATAGTAATAACAAAAGCTCGCAGCTTTAAAATAGTAACTTTAAAGCAGAGGGAAAAAACGTCCATTACTTGAATGTGCAAGAAATGGAGCTAGATTTTATTCCAATAAATTCTATCTCCATTTCTATTGGTCCATTCATTATGAAATGTTCACACAATGTAATGAGCAGATGAACAAAAAAAATGGGATTGATATGACAGTGTTAACATATATAAAACTGATGTGGCACATGTGTATGACCACTTGCCCTGATAAGATATAAAAACAACCATGCATGTGTGTGTGTGTATGTATTTTGTGGAGGGGTCTTAAAGAAAACAATGCACTTTAAGAAAGTCTCTTGTTGCTTTCCATCTATCAGGGGCAGCAACAGGACTGTCATGGATCGATAGCAGTTCGAGAGAAGCATCAGGTCAGGGCGGTGGAGCATTCACCTGGTCTCAGTGAGCACGCTTGTGCACTCACACATAGAGCGACCCGCTGAGATTGCCATTACACGTCACTGGACGGAGCAGAAACAAACAGGCAGAATGAGCAGCGGTACAACGAGAGATTGAGTGAGACTGTGTGTGCACGAGTGTGTGGGGTGATCGGTCTAGCGTGCAACAACGGAGCCTGCAGTCTGACAGGTGAATTTCACCCGCTGTTTAAAGTGGGCCAGACAGGGTTTTTTGTGGATTAGCTGGAGTTTAATTTAGAACGGTGGGTGGGGGGTGATCCCTTTCCCATTTAGCACAAGAATAGAGTTCAGCCGGGCATTTTTCAGTGTCAGTGCAGCGTCAAAACTCTAATTAGATTTTACTTCCATCAAAGCTCTCCCGCCCCTTTCCTAAGAGCCAGGCAGACGCAGCTGTGTGCAGCATGGCAAACATGTGGCTGCTCGCAATTAGGGTTGGCAGTTTCCACTTTTTTAATCCCCTTAAACTATATTACTAAACAGGGGTGGGGGTGAAGGTGGGGATGTGTCTCCCACCAACAGAAATAAAACTGGTTCTATGTATCTGGAGATTTCCACAAAAGTCTTTGCTAAAGCTTTGCGAAACATCATAAACCAAAAAAAAATCCTAGAAAATGGGTCATTTCTTTATCATTCAACCCAAGCACACCTTTATTTTCAGTTTTCCACCTGTCAATCAGCCAATCAGAAAGCAGAAAAAGGCTGATGGCAGCCGAAGAACTTACACCAGCAATTCAGACATTAACAGACAAGCTGGAGCAATAATTAAAACATCAGCGTCTACTGTAACATCATTAACCAGAAAATTTTCATGTGAGATTTTCAGGATCTTTAATTTATCACTTCATAAATGTTAAACTATCAATCTAACAACAAACACTGCTATGTCAACCCCTTAAAATCTCAGGGTTGTTACATCCTAAAGCTGCAGTCACCGTTTTTGCTTTCCATGTTGCACTGAGAAAAGGGGCGTGGCCTAGGCCAAGGGCGGATCATGGTTTTCGAGGCCCATGGTCTTTGGAGGCCCATCACACTCCACACTCCAATTACTCATAACAAATGAAAATAATATGACAGATAAAAAGTAAAGACCTAAAAAGTGAGATTAAACTATATTTAGCAATCATGAGTGTGCCCACTTTTAACATTTCTTTATTTTTTGTATTCAAAATTTATCTAAGTAATGTGTAGTATTCTGTCATCATTATAACAGTTCTTGTGTAGGATGTGAATAAATTTTATTAAAATTTCTTCACTTTGTCTTTCAAGCCAAACCAAGTCAAAAAAAAAACCAGAAGACATCCTGCACACGCTAAACAACATTTCATGTGTCAATAACTGAAAACAGAAATTAGCCTGAAAATAAAAAATGTTTGAAAAATGGTTCTGACTAGGTATTTCAATTTTTAAAAATGAAAGGGCAAAACCCTTTTTTCTTCTTCTTTTTTATTACCCCTTATAGGTATATTAGTTAACCACTGGTCAAGAAAAGTGATCATTTTAAAACACAATAAATAACCATAACATTATTACACCACCCAGCTTCCATTCCACTACCAGACACATCAATTACGCATTATCAGTTCTCACACCAGTCAAAGAGTCAATATTGAGTTGTTTAACGACACTTTTGGTGAACGGGTCCCTGGTCAGGTCAACTTTAAAGTTTGAGTCAAGCTTCTGCATGGCCTTTTTTGTTTTCTCAAATTAGTGTAGTCAAAAGTTCTTTTAAAAACATATTTTGAGTAGTCTAGTATCACTGAAGCCTAGAATCTTTATAAGCCTCATTTCCTCCTCTAATTCAGTAATCTGTCAAATATTCTGATACATTTTCATTGTTTCTTTCTGTAATTTTATGGCTTCAGAATGACATGACTATGCACCTGCTTGATTGTGCAGTACTACCTCAGCCTTCAGTGCTCTCAAATCTGTTGAGAGAGAGAGTCCCAAAACCCCTACTCCACACTCGCTTCCCAATTCTTAGCCTGTGGGTTGAAATTTGCATTGACTAAGTCTGGGGCGTCAAAATCGGAAAGATTTTTTTTTTTTGTGAGTAAGTTTGACTTAACACGTATTTTGCAGACATAACTTGGATGCATACTAAAAGTATGTTAAGAGAACTTCTGATTAAACTGAATTAAGAAAAAATTAAAGACATGCAGAAGGTTATCTTAAAATTTCAAGCTGACCTGTCTTTCACATTTTTTTCAGTGTTCGTATAAAAGCATGTTGCTGGACAGTATCTTTGTGGTTATCGTTCAAAGTGAGAGTTTCTCTCCCTCTCTGACAAAAACACACATACAGACACACAAACACACTCTCTGCACTCTTCCTCTTCCCCTTGCGCACATATTCAGCAGCCTCAAATTCCTCTAAACT